GGGGGGGGGGGTGTCCTTTTATTTATCATTTTTTTAATGGTCGGTAGTATTTTTTGCCCTGTGATAACTGCTGAGTATTGCTGCTGCCACTGCACCTTTATTCCCCACATATATAGACCTAATACATCCTGGCTGTTGATAATGTTAAGCCAAATAGTAGTATAATTACTGGGCTGAAGAATCAGCTAGATCATCTTATATGTAGAACTATCTAACTACATTTCATGAGACGTTATTAATTTTATCTATCTCATCTGACCTCCAGCATAGTTGCTGAATTATTGCAAATTACCCATGGGATCAGGTTAAAGTTGCAGAATGACTTATAAATTGACTTTTTTTTTAATTAAATATCTCTTCCATAAGGATAACTGTCTTTGCTAGCCATGGGTAAACTAGGTTCTACAAACCTTGATGAGAAAATCTGGTTTCTGTCAACTTCAGGATGTTTACTGTGCATAGTAGGCACTCAATAAATATTGTTGAAGTTTCACCAATGGAAGCTCTCCAAGTTAGCTGTGCCTCTCAATTATATCACCATAGGACTGCCTGCCCCTCAACTGTCTACTCCTTAATTGTCTACTTTACCTTCATGGCACAACGAAGGTGATCACTATTGTAGAACCTCATTTGACTATTATATTGATTTACCTGGTTGCATTCCATTCAGCATTGATGAAGTCAGGAATGGCATGAAGTCATTATTGTGACTCACTAACAGCTGGAATGGTGCTCATTTCACTGATGTATTCACATGAACACTCATTTATTATGAAAATGAGCAGATGACAGACTTAGGGTAGAAAGGTTATATTCTTTGCCCAGTGTTGTGTGATAAGCAGGGGCAGCACTGACATCAGATCTCAGCTGACAGTCACCAGTGAGCTCATTATTAGCAGACAGCATCATCACTGAAGAATGTGTACCAGCTCCTTGTATAGTATCCTACAAGATTTATTTTGTTCAGTATACAATGGAGTCCTCTGGACTTGGACTGACTTACTGTTTTCGCTGATTTTGTCTTAAAGAGACCAGTGAATGGCAATCCACATGAAGAATATCTTTATGAAGCTGAACACATGTGGTGAAATATGACTCTAATTTTAGTGGTTTTCTCCCTTAGAAACAATTAGTTGGGTATATATATTTTCAAATTACCTGGATTGCTTTTTATTGCCAGAGCTTTCATTCGTTTAAGTTAGATTTGTGTTTTTTTCCCTCTTCAAGAGGCAAAAGTGGTTATGTATACTTGGCTGGTTTTTTCAAGGTATTAGATCCTCCTCCTCCTTTGTTTGTTCAGGGAGTCTTTCCCACACTTTTTCCTCTTTTCTCATCTCCCCATTCCCACCCTCACATCAAAGGAGATTGAAGAACTCCTTCCCAATTTGAAGGCTTAAGCTTGAAAAAGAAATTATTTGTAGAGCAAACAAATTGAAATCCCCACTTTGAATTTTCTTCAAAGGGAGTGGTATGGAATCTTGATAACTATTTGAAATAGAAGTTAACTGATGTAAAGAATAGTACAAGATAAAATAACTGAAGAACTTTCTCTTTAATCTTGGTATAACAGAAATATTAAATTTGGTTAGCTATATTCATTCATTCATTCATGTATGCATTTGTTCACTCACCAAACATTGACTGACTGCCATGTATAAATCATCGGGCCCAGGGCTATGGGGGTTAGGCATAAAATATAGAATCTACTCTAAGAACAAACTTTCAGCAATAAAAAAAAATAAGGTCAGAGAATCTAATGTAAAACATGGTGACTGCAATTGATAACACTGTGTTGTATAATTGCTGAAAGAGTTAATCTTAAATGTTCTCACCAGAAAGAAAAAAAGGATAAATATGAGAAGTGGTGGATATTTAATTAACCAGATGGGGGGAGTCCTTTTACCATATATATGTACATCACATCACCACAGCTTTAAATATTTTACACTTTCATTTGTCAGTCATACCTCAGTAAAGCTGAAATTAAAAAAGAAAAGAAAAGAGTCTACCCTAGGAGAATATATAATTTGTGCTTCAACAAATTAGTTTTATGGATATTCATGGAAAGCCATGAAATGGAGAGGAGAAAATTATTCATATGCAGTACATGTGGAGAAGAGAAGAAATCTGTGAGTGGAAGGAAATTTGTCTGGAGGCAAAGGGATGGCTCTCTCTCAAAGAGGGCTAGCTGCTTTAGATCTCCTGGGACTCTCCCAGCAGAGAGAAGAGGAGTGTAGGTCTCTGCTGCTACTCAGCCTCTAGGGAACCACATAAAGGACAGAAGCAGCTACTTGTTCCTTCCACTGTGCACAGGGTTGTTAGAGGCCCCAGAACAGAAAAGATCACAGAGGAGGCAGATACTAGCCCTAGCTTCAGGAATTTCACTTTGGCTCTAGGTAAGAAAGAATATAGGCAGTGACTAGAAGAGGTTGGAATACTAGTGACTGCAACAGCCATGGAGACTCCTAAGCGTCCTCTCCATTCCCCATCTCCCCATACCTACTGCTATCCTGCCTTAAAGGAGGAAAAGCTCTGCATGAGCTGAAATTCCAATTATTGTGTTTGTGGGGGGTTCAGCTAGAGACAACTGGACTTATTACCATTGTAGGGTAGTTTCTTCCCTACATGAAAATGCTTGTTATATTAGTTTATTTCCTAAGAATACAACTAATTTCTTTGTCTCCTTTCCATGCTTTTCTGACCCCACTCTCACCCTCTACAGAAAGAGGAATGCATATAGGTGATTATACATTTTTTAATGGTCTATTCATTTCTTTGCTTGGATATTATATCCTTGTAGGGAATGCATTTTCCCTTGGTGAAATAAAAACAGCTTTTATATTTAAATAGCACAGTGAAAAGAAGAAAGAAAGAAAAAGCCATTCTTTAGAATCAAATGTGGAGAAGGCAGACAAAAAGAAAATCTAAAATGTAAGAATTACTTAGTTTAGAATACTGTATGAAACTGTAGATTTATATTCTCCTCTAGGGCAGGACAAATATCTCAGAATACAACAGTATCCTTCTAGATGGCAGCTTCTATGGAAGTTTTCACTTGTACTCATTTTGTGGAGTGGGAGAATGGCTTTGGAGAGAGAGACTATTTAACCTAATACTAAATTCAAGATGAAGGATTTAAGAATTTTAAAAAGTTATTAGCATTAAGATAAGCCCTAATTCAAGGCCTGCTGTGGAGTAGCCTACCTATATGGATTGAAGATTGAAGGGACTTGAATCTTCAGGATTCTTCTGAAGCATCTTTTTTTTTTTTTTTTTTGGTATGTTTTAAGTTTTAGAATATGGTATATGGGATTAAAAACAATGAATGATTTGTTAGCTCAGAAATACAACTACATTTAAGAGGGGGAAAGTGCTATCATTATATCTACTTTACTAAGTCTTTCAAGATTATGAGCACAAATAAGATGCTTGTGGATAAACCTGCAGATACGATGATAAACTGGTTGGCTGGAAGGTGGTGATGTAGGCCAACAGCATGTACATGTGGTCATTTCTGATTTTTAGAGAGAATGGAAGGGAGGGAGGGAGAGAGGTGGGAGAGAGAGAAAGAGAAACATTGATCAGAGAGAGAGACACATCGATTGGTTGCCTCCCGCAGAACCTGCAACCCAGGTACGTGCCCTTGACCAGGAAGAACATATAGGAGAAACTTTTTAATAATCTTTGAGCAGGGAAGACCTTTTAAAAATATGACACAAACCCTGGCCAGTGTGGCTCAGTAGTTAGAGCGTCGGCCTGCACACCAAAAGTTCTCAGGTTTTTGATTCCCAGTCAAGGGCATGTACCTGGGTTGCAGGTTAGTTCCCTGGCCTGGTTGGGGTGTGCAAAAGACAACCAACTGATATGTCTGTCTGGCTGTCTCTCTCTCTCCCTTTCTTTCCCCCTCCTTCCCTCCCTTTCACTTTATCTAAAAATCAGTGGCAAAAATATCCTCAAGTGAGGATTAACAAAAAACAAACAAACAAACAAATATGATACAAAACCCACGAACCATAAAAGAAAACATTAATAAATTCAAATACATAAAGCCAAAAATTTTATGTTAAGATCCTATAAACAAAGTCAAAAGACAACACATTGTGAGAAAGATTTTTAACACATGACAAAGAGCTAATTTCTAAATACATAATATTCTACACTTTTTTTAAAGATCAGAAACATAATAGAACAATGTACAAAAGAAATTAACAGATTTTCACAGAAAAAGATATACAAATGACCCTTAACATATGAAAAGTTAAACATATGAAAATAGCCCTCATAACCAATACCTTTTTTTACCTCTTAGATTGACAAAGATCAAAAAAGTTTGCCATGGTGTTGGCAGGGGCATAGGGCATTGTGTTGGCAGGGGCATAAGGGAAGCGGCATTGCTATATGTATTGTTGGTGGAGTGTAAATTAGAATAACCTCCATAGAAGACAATTTGGAAATATCTATCAAAATGCTATGCATATCCAAGGCGTTTGCTCCAGAAATTTCATTAGTAGAAATTTAACCTCCAGAAATATTCCTATATTTGTGAAATTTCATA